GCGCCCCCCTCAACCGCCCGCGGACCGGCCCCGCCTCTCCGCCCCGCCCCTGAAGGAACCGCGAAGGACTTAATGTTTCATTAGTTTATTATTCGTTTATTGGTTGGTTGTAATGGGGGGGGCTTGCTTTGGCCCCCTCGTCCCAAGAAACGCCCCCCCCGCCCGACCTCTTCCCCTTCCTTTCTGAGGAGGAACGTCCGTTGGCTTCCCAGCGCTGGCGTCGCTCGAGGCAAGGGGAGTGCGCAGGCGCAAGAAACGCGCCTCGCGTTGAAAACGGGCATGCGCGGAAGGAAGCGCCCCCCCCTCGGCGGGGAAGGCGCAGTGCGCGTGCGCGGAGGCTCCTCTCTCTGCTCCCTTCCCCCTCTTCTTTCTTCTCCCTCCTTCCCGGCGACGGGGATGGTTTTTATTCGCCACAAAAAGTTTTAAAAGTGGATCCCTTCTGGAACCCTCCTATTATAATGAACGCGTATGGAATTACTAGCCTAGCCCCGGCGGAAGTCGTTCACTGCGCAATAACGGAAGTGGCTTTTGCAGTGGGCGGGGCTAAACGATGGCGTTAAGGGGGCGGGGGCTTTGGGTCATGTGACCTTTCGAATTCTATAAGCAAGGAGGGTAGCCCAGCCAGACCTGGAGGAGTCGTTGTTTGGAAAGTAGTTCGTTCCATTCCGTTCTCTCGTGGGTTTTGTCCCTGAGAGCCAGGCTTGGGGCGGGGAGGGTTTTTCCTCCTGGTTCCAGGCTTTGGAACCTGAACTTGTCATCCTTTATGTTGTAAGCCGCCTAGAGTGGTCGAAAGGACTAGATAGGCGGGGTATAAATACAACAAATAAAATAAATAAATGAGGATGATGTCCACCCGAGGATTGGCAACGTGGGCAGGCTTGCAGCCTGGCAACCCTTCCTCTGCCTTGGGGACTCAGCCAGGGATCTGCTAGTACTGTACTGTATATCCCTTTTTTCTTCCTGTCCCAACACAAGACTCCCAAGAACTGTAGTGCTTGGAAGGGAGGAAACCCACCCAGGTAACCTAACCGTTTATGATCCATCCTCTGTTTAAAAGTCTGCAACGGAGGAAAGCCCACAAATTTTCTGAGGTGGCCCGTTCCACTGCCAAACAACTTCGGCCATCGGAAAACCCTCTTACTCTCCAGCTTAATCCATGTTCCGGAAGAGACAATCATGCTGGGAAAGGTGGAAGGCTGGAGGAAAAGAGGAAGACCCAATTTGAGATGGATTGACCCCCCCCCCTCAAAAAAAGGAAGCCAATTCCCAATTTGAGATGGATTGACCCCCCCCCCCCCTCAAAAAAAAGGAAGTCAATTGAGTTTGCAAGAGCTGAGCGGGGCAATTGAGGACAGGACATGTTGGAGATCACTCATCCATTGGCCCGCCGTGAATCGGAGGCAACTTGATGGCCCATAACAGCAGCATCCAGCTAGAATCTTATTTCTAATCAAGATCTAATCGTTTGGTTCCCACTGTCTGGAGCAGCAAAAATAAGCTGTTTCTCTCTTCCACGTGGCACCTTTTCAGATATTAGGAGATGGCTATCACACTTTCTCCCAATTTCCTCTTCTCCAGCCTAACCACACACTACTCCCCAAAATGTATAGAATCCCACCTTTCCTAAAGGAAGTCGTTCCAAGCCTGCACTGCTTTGCAACAAACTGGTAAATCAAATATATCAAGGCTGTATGTTTTGTGAACTTTTATGGTGAAGCAAGGCCCTGCAGATCTGTGGTGGGAAAGGCATGCAACGTGGGCTCGGAAATTAATCTCTCGAGAGCAAATATATCTTCCCCGTCATACACAATGGAATGATAATAAAAATCAAGGAGATGGCATCTGAGCGAGAGAGCCTTGAAATGACTGGCCCACAAGCGGTCGGATGAGATTGCTAGAAATACAAAAATAGATTGTCAGTAACCTTTGCTTGGTATGCCTCAAAGCGGTAGTGCCTAGACAGATGCCTCTCCAGCCCTTGGTCATGTTGGCCCAAGTGGTTTCACTGTCAGTGCGGTGTGGAAAAAACATCTCGGTTCGTAATATTTCAAGATATCGAACTGCTGCAAGCATTGCTCCTTCCATCATCCAGCAGAGAACTGTATCCGTTGCACTGTAAATATTATTAATAATGGGTAACTGTTACACATTTGGTGGATTGGAACAACGGCAACATTAAACAGTTGAAATAAAACAGGGAGGTTGATTAAAGAATCTGTTTATCCTAGTCACACATTGTTGCAGTGCCTTAGCAGTAAGAGGAGGAAGGACGGAGCAGTGGCCTAAGAGACCTAATCCCTAGATGGGATTCAGCAATACAAGCTCTTGGCCTCTAATTCAGGGTTAAGGGTCAAGCAGAGAAGAAACTAAGCTCAGATTCTCAAGGTGGCAATCCCTTAAGTGGTGAAATACATCTGTCGTAGCACAAGCGTTCATCCCTTTTGTATCTTGCATCTCGGGTTGCTTCATTTTATGATTGCCCCTCCGAAGGTAAACACAACCTTAATTTGCAAGTCCGGCTGCTGAGGTTTGCACCTCTGAGGAAACTTTTCTGCTGAAAGGAAAACAGACTGCCAGCTTCTGCATCCACACTGAGGATCTTATCTAGCTTGCACTTAAGCTCCGACAGTTCCAGACAAACATTTTATCGTACTGGCAAGTTAGAAGGCGCTTTGCAACTGTTCGTCCTTGCCGAGGTAAATAAAACAAATAGAAAAGGATGTGAAAAGGGGAGGAAGATTACAAGCAGAGAATCACATGTCAAGTCTCTAAAATTTAGCAAGTGAAGCCACAACAAAAGCCTCACCTGGAGCTATTATTATTTGCAATTAAGGCCACAAACCTGAACTTCTTACCTGGGGATAAACATTGACATTTTCATATATATTGTCAGAGCAGACAGGTGTACAGAATCATTATACTGAAACCTAGTGGGATACTTATTAAAGCTTCAAATTAAACATGCTTAGCCAGAAGCCCTGCGAAGTTTACAAGTGCACAGAGCATTGACAGGAGAATCAGATGTGCAGTTTTTCAAGAGCCCCCATATCTTGTCTATGTTCATGTTGTCAGTAAGATAGAGAGACCTCCAGTATGATTAGTTGTTCTTGCTGCTGCAGCTATTCACCCAAGGAAAGGTCAAACGAGATTTAGCATGTGTTTAGAAACAGTGCTTCGGGAGTGGAGAAAGGAGGTCTGTTTGTCAGAGCACGTGTTCAAGTGCATGTCTTGCATTTTGACGGTACCTTTTGGTTTACAGAGTGCTTTGCGATTTTCATGTCCCTTTTCTCTAGCAAGGACAAACTTTATTAAATAAGCAATAAATTAAAAACAGAACGACCATAAAAAGCAATTGCATAAAGAGTAGGAAATATGCCAAGATAACAAATGGATAAGCCTGCAAATTTCTAGCATCAGTAGGAAGTTACATGTAAATGAAAAGATGGTTACAGTAAAAGATCAACAAATTAGCAGTGAAGGACAAAACAGAGGAGAAAAATATTTGAGAAAATAGCTGGTTTATTACTGCCAGCGTTGTGGGTCTCTCTCAGAGCTGAAGATCTGCTGTCGTGATCTACATCACCACTTCTCATATACTGTTCCTGAAAGGGGGCAAGGACTGAGTGGACCGTCAGGTCTCTTACAGGGGTGGGAGAGGGAGGGATAACAGCTTTATTTGCAAGACGGATTGCTCAGGCACAGAGCTCTGAAGAGTTTGCGTGCAGAGAGAGCGAGAGAGATAAACATTGTAAGAGAAAGAAATGTACATTTGCTTTTTGCACTTGAGCTGATCCTTAAATACTATAAAGGAACCCAAATGGAACTTTTTCATAACAATTTTTTCTGAGCTTGGCTTTTGTCTGTCCTGGCCAGTTAACGCTGCATCACAAACAACCTAAGCTAAATATAATGGCCAGAGATAGGGGTGGGGAAACACATACAGGTAGCTGTGCATTAAAAGCTTCACCTTTAAACAACCAAAACTTAAGTTTGACATTGAAAAATGAAAGTTAAGTAGTTGAAATTTAAACAACTTGTTGTGTAAAAGCACAGAGCAGTCTTAGAATCCAGAGAAAGAGGTGTACAAACTAAAAGCAAACGCATCATGCTGAGCTTCAAAGCCTAATTCTTGGGGGAAATGAAACAAAAATAAAAAAATTACAGATTTTGATCCTAATATACCAGTGAGAACGACACTCTGCCATGTATCTTTCTAGCCCGTAGTATCCACTAACAGGCCTTTTCTTCATGCCCCACTCACACTTAAAAGCTACCCAACTGTTTCACACCTTGTGGCGATAAGATAAGCATTATAGATCAGAATGGCTCCTCTCTGCTTCTCTTCTGTAGCCCCAACAATGGGAAATAATTAAACCATAGGGGTGTTTATTTAGAAACAGTTCCCAGCCTGTTCTGTGGGATATCCTGTTTTGCAGCATTTTCTGGCCATACAGGCTGGGATATTGTGGGTGCTGTGATCCAGAAAAACCAACTTTTCCCATTCTCTCTGCTTCTTTGAAAATGTGTTTAGGATTCCAACTTTCCTGCTTGCTCTCCTGTGTTCTAAGAGTTGTTAAATGTTCATCAGCACAAGCTCTTGTTCTGCTCCAAAGGCCAAGATCTGTCTTACTTTTGCAAAGGCAAAGAGATGAGAAAGATTTCTGTAGCGTGATCAAGTGTAACAGCACCGAAGCAGCACGCTCTAGCGGGGAAACCTTCGATGTGTGGAATAGGTAGATGCTGTTTTCCGCAGAACTGCTCTTGGTGTGTAAATTCTATGCAATGCTATAGAAAGTGCTCCACTGAAGATGCTTACACATGTACAGTTTTTTCCCCTAGGTCCCCATCTGATGGATCTTGGTGTGGCGATTGTCCTCGAAACAGGCAGAATTAGACACTCTCTTCCTCCTTGGTGATACTGTAATCTGTTAACAAGGTGACGCTGATCTCGGACCCTGTAACTGACATCGCCCTGGTCATGGTGTTGCTCTGCGTGACGCTGGGAGGCTGTGCAGCAGGAGCCTTAGGTTTGCAACACAAAACCTCCTTCTTAAAATGCTGACGGAAACTTTTACTTAGCCAATACAGCGCAAAGGGGTTGACGCAAGAATTGCTGAAGGCCAAAACCCGTGAAAAGATAGTGGAAATAAGATGGAAAGCAGAGGTATCTATTGAAGTATGATAGGTGAAGGAGCGGTACAGGTAAAGAATGTGGTTCGGAAGCCAACACAAGGCAAATAAGCCAGCCAAGACTAGTACGGTTTTCGCAACTCTCTTGCGGGATTCAATCTGGAAAATAACCAAAATAACACTACATGTTAATGAAGGGTTTTCCCCCTTTGGCAGCATAGAATGGACGGCACTAGATTTTATTTAGGTAAAAGTTAGGGTTGATAAGTTGAAAGAACAGAATACCTAAATCCTTCCTGGGCTGTTGGTTGCCAGAACACAAAATAAAACAACACGGGAAGAGTAATGTCACTCATTAAAAGAAAGTGGAAGCAAACACTATCCATAGATCATCATGCTTACTTAAGCATTTACACCACAAGATTTTAGGAACCCCTGATTAAACTTAACAGTTGCTGGGGGGAAATGAAAATTGTCATCCTATATTTACCTGCTCCAGTTTTCAGCAATATTAGTGAGTTTTTAATAAATAGGAATGATCTTCTCTTTGGCTTTTATCCTGGAAATACATGGGTGAACCTATATCAGCCTTTTGTGTGGTTTTAAAAAACAGCTCTTATTAAAAGAGAAATGAAGCCTGAGAAATAGAAACCAGCTGGTAATCCCAATGAGAGGAACAAGACTGAGGATCTTAAAATTGCCCATCCACATTTAGCAGGTCTTAGATCCTAGATTAAGGGTGCGACTCAACCGTGAAATTATTCCAAGCTGGTTTGGGTGAAATAGGGTTGCTTCAAAGTGCAGCGGGCCATCTGGAGCTGAAGAAACTTCAGAGTGGTCCTATTTAGCCCACTGTCTGCCCCCATGCCCCCATGTCCTCTCCTGCCTCCCCCACTGTGGGGATTTCTTGTTAAGTGCCATATCTCCGAATTGATGGGGAAAACACTCACCAATGCCTCTCAGTTTGAAACCAGAAATCACACGTGCCAGAAACTAAAATGAAATGGAGTGTCCCATCCGCTGATCTGAAAAAGTGCAGCTGGTCTTAGAAAATGCATAAAACGTATGCATTTTATTATCACTGGTAATGAGATCAAATCAGCCTGTCTCGACATGGGGATAGAATGCTCTGTAAAGTGTAATGCAGCTGCTCCCTGCGTTTTAGTTCTATTTAACTGATGTTTTAATAACATATTTTCTCATTTTTAATACGAATATGTAAGTTAGCTTTTATATTTTAAGCAGATTGGTGTCATCTCTGTCTCCTTTTTTTGTTCTCTTTGGCTCCCCAGATTATGATATTTGTGTTCACATGGTATTCTCCTTAACCTTGCCACCAGCAGGAAAAGGGGGAAAGTTTTAAATCCTAAATTTGAAAATACTGAATTTAGACTCATAAGCCAGAAGTGTCCCCATCCTAGACTAATGAGGTACTTCATTCACACAGTTAAGTACTTTTGGCCTTTAATTTCTATCAGATCTCATTGTCTGCAAGCCAGCCCACAACTGCAGGAGCTATAAATATATATTCCTGAAGTTTTAGATAGCATTCTGGATCTCTGGATGAGGCAAATTCTGAATTAGGGCACCACAGCCCATGCAAACATATGCAGCCGTAAATTTGTCCGTCTGTAGAGTTTCTGTGAGACTCCCTGTTCGTTATCACCTCAGAAAAACATGTTACTTTGCTTTCTGCACCTTATCACAACAGAAACACAGCTTAATGCAAACGCCTCCTCAGAAAGCTGGATGTTTATTAATACTAGTGAGAAATTAAAGGCTTGCATAATATAGGAGGAAGGGGGAAACCGTGTTTTAAGTGGTTAGAAAAGATGCTCTGGTTTTGGACTACAGCTCCCGGAATTCTCCAGCTATCATGACCGGGTTGGGGGATTCTGGGAACTGTGATGGGAAAAAAAAATTTTTTTTGGACTACAGCTCCCAGAATTCTCCAGCTATCATGACTGGGTTGGGGGATTCTGGGAACTGTGATGGAAAAAAAAAAAAATTTCCTGAACTCTGTAAAATCCCCATCCACAAGCTGATAATTTTTGCCCTAACAACTAAGGAATGAGAGAAATATCCTTTCAAATTTAGGATACCTCACCATGACAAGAAATGCTTTTTCAAGGAATTTTTAAAGCCTTTGAGATTTCTTGTCTTGGAATGAGAATGAGAGAAACCGCTGGTTTTTGCTGCCTTAAAGTCTCTGGAATGTGTTCAAAATGTCATTAGTTTCCTTTGAGCAACAAACTACACACAAAGAGAAAGGGAGGGAGGGAGAGAGAGAGCACAGGACAAGATGATTTCTAGGAAAGATGCAATCAGCCCATTCAGTGCTTCAGATTCTTAAATAAAACAAGCAATCTCCCTAGTTTTGTACAGTAGCATGAATGGGGCAGTTGTGTGTAAAAAGAGGCAGTGTAAGAATTCTGTTGAGAGCACCAGGGATTTCCTCGCTCCCCTCACCTGCAACAAGAGGGTTGTTACATCCCCAGATGTAGCAGCAAATTGAGTTGGTTGTTGTTTTTTTTAACTTATAGACCATCCTGAAGTGCTAGAACATTCTCTGGGTGGTTTACAACCTAACCGTGCAAGCAGCAACTTGCCCTGCAGTGAGGTAGGTACTCCATTTGTTAACCTCAAAAGGATGGAAGGCTGAGTGAACCTTGAGCCGGCTACCTGCACCTATTAGGATCGAACTCAGGTTCTGAGCAGAAGACTGACTGCAGTACTGCAGTTTAGCCACTGCAGCATGGGGGCTCGTGGTCATGATTGGTGGTTAAAAACCGATAAACCTTTAGGGTCAACCGAAAAAACATGGTTGACTGAGGTAAGGCTAAGGACAAGCAGGCAGCTTCCCGCTTCCACAGATAAAAGCCGACTACAGCTGAACCTTTCTTCCACCACCCCAAGACCACCAAACATGCTCAACCCCCCCCCCCGAAGTAGTTAAAGGCTTCTGTTCTTCCAGGAACGAGGAAGGGTCAGGCACAGCTTCTCCCTGGGGCAGTTTTCTCATCCTGCTGCATGTTAAGGACGAGACTGCTTTAGTCAACTCAAAACCTATCCCGGTATCCCATTTTAATATCAGCAATGAGGCAGGCTCCAGCTAGTGAAAATGGGAATTTCCAGAGACAGGGCTCTGTATAATGCCCTGATTTGATTCTCTACCAAACAGTCCAATGGAACAGGTGAGATGGGCAAAAAAAAAAAGACCTATGCAGACTCTAGGGGGGTTAGGGAAACTTTAAGTCCAGAGAGGTTCATGGGGGGGCTGCACCTAATGATAGGCGGAGCCAAAGGCAAAGGGGCGGGGCCTCAAATGCAAGCATTTATTAGCTTAAAGTTCTCATTGCCAGTAAGTAAGCCTTAGGAGAAGTATTGCAGTGTTTTGGAACATAAAGTTCTCATTGCCAGTAACTAAGCCTTTGGAGAAGTATTGCAGTGTTTTGGAACGATAAAAAGCAACAAGCAAAAGCTGGAAAACCACTAAAGGAGAGTGTTCTAACTAAGGGGGTGCGGCTCTTTGGGGAATCTCAGGGGGCATATTGGAGGGCCCGTTTTGGCTCACACGACCTCTGGTTGCCCACCTCTGCTCTGACTCTCTGCGCACCTGCTTACGAGCGTGCCCATGTTCTTCCGCCGGCATGTTCAATGTGCTCTTGTAGAGTGTTTTGGCGATAAGGAAATAATAGATGGAGATGACAGCGAGCGGGACGATGTAAAAGATCAAGAAGCAAATCAGCGAATGGGCCTCTTGCAGGATTCTTTCAGACACCGGGTAAGGGGCGCAGGTCTCCAAAGAGGTGTTCTTGTCGGAAAGGTGGAAAGCGTAGAGATCAGAAGACACGGCTTCCGGGACGGCTAAGAGCATGGAGACAATCCAAACGCAAGCGGCTTTGAAACAGGTCCTCAGAACGGCATCTGCCCGTTGTAGCTCCAAGGGTTTCACGATGGCTTTGTACCTAAGAATGATAATTAACGGTGAAGGCTTCAGAATGTGAATCCAATGCAACAGAGACTAGACAAGAGCATCAGAACTCGACTGATGAGTCCCCCCTGGCATTTTAATGCCGTCGCTTGCGATCCACCAAACCACGCAGAAAGATTGTTTGGGGCTCTAACCTTGATGGAACGAAACCAGCGCGAAGCCAATGACTCTCTTTTGCATGATGCCATGTTTCTATTTCATCCCTCTCAGACATCATCATAATGACTATCCTAACTTTGGATGTGGCCACTCTAAAGGACATTACGCTGCACCTGAACGATTCTTCCAGTTTCCTTAGCCTACATTCCTCTTCCTGCACACATTCTGCCATTTATTTTATCCCAAATGATCAGCCGGAAAGAATGGCTACTCTCCATTTCTCATTATGTGGCCTCAGCATTATAGCTTTCCGAATTGTACCTTCCCTATGTTTTGGGGGCCCTTGTTCATTTGCATAATAGATCTCTGCTAACCACCCTCTCCATCCAGGAAATTCTTAGCATCCTGCAATCTATCGACATTTAAAATACTTTGCATTTTTATCATTTGCTGCATTAAAATCCACAATGCTATTAAAGTCATGCTAAACACCAAAACACAGAGAATTGAGCATACATATCATCCATATTCTGGAAACTAATTCTATCTATCTATCTATCTATCTATCTATCTATCTATCTATCTATCTATCTATCTATCTATCATCTATCTATCTATCTATCTATCTATCTATCTATCTATCTATCTATCTATCTATCTATCTATCTATCTATCTATCTATCTATCTATCTATCTATCTATCTATCTATCTATCTCTTACATTTTACAGTTAATTAACCTGCAAGACATTTTAGTCCCTCAAGCCACCTCTTCTACAGCATTGCCATTTGAAAAGTTGTAAACAGCATCCTCAAATTTCATCTACATAACCATTTTGTGTCATGTTGACAAAAAAAAAAGCCCCCACTGGAACAAAAATTGTCCCAAGAAAACTGTCACTTTTTTGCCCCTTTTATTATTCCCATCAATATAAAGGATCAGAACGTGACATGCTGTTTTTCAGTGAGAAGCAGAAACCATCTCTTCGGTTATTTCTCATTTGTTGGAACATCAGAATTCTCAGTAGGTTCAATAAATAGACATGTGCATTCTCATGAAAACCTAACTCTAAATCAAACTAGAATAGTAACCATATTGCTAATCTCTGTTTCTTGGGATTTCAAAATGATCAGATGCTGTCTTAGAGTTCACTTAATACAAAGTGGTGGTCGTGGTGATGTATCATGGTGACACTAAAAGTGTCTGGCTTTTGTTTCTTCTTCTTCTTTTAGTCTATTGAGCATCAGAGGTTTTAGTATGGGAGTTTACATCTTACAGTTTTATTTCATCAAGGGCTGAAAAATGGGCTTCAGTTATTCTCATTCCTTCTCATGCTTCCCTTTTCAACTCTCACAAATTGTTTTAATGCACCACAAGGGTAGCATCAAGCTACAGCATAGCCTCCTTTTGCCTTTAGGCAATTTGTAGGAATTGGGGAGAATATATTTCTTTTTTTTTTTTGTACATGATGAAAGATGGGTTCTTTCCCCCCAAAATGTCTGTAATCATTGTCAACTTGCTTGCATGCTCTCTTAGCAAGACTTCTATACCTTATACCTTCACAAATCAGAGACAACATTTTTCTATACCTTCAAGATCTGGTTTTTAAAAATGTGCAACTGAACATAAAAGTAGGCTTTGCCAATCACAGGATGCTAGATTTACTAGAAAAATCAAAGGTTTGGGAGGGGGGGTAAAAAAAGATGACACATCAAACTTTGCATCTAGATACTGGACAGAGTGGCCCATTCCAGCTCCAGTTAACTTAATCTCGTATAATATCCTAGGGTCTAGAAATTCAGCTTAAAAAAACAATCGAATGCCCATCCGACTCACCTGTCTGCACTGAGCACAGTTAAAGTGAACACAGAGACTCCCACTGATGTTCTTTGGATAAAGGACAGCAGCTTGCACCCAATTCTTCCAAACAACCAGGTGTCCACCAGGTAACAGGCAGCATCCACGGGCACGCAAGTCACGAGAAGAATCACGTCCCCAAAAGCGAGGCTAGTGATGAAGATGTTTGGAACCGTCTGCATCGACTTGATCTTGAAGAAGACTTTAATAAGGATCACGTTTCCAAGAAGACCCACTGAAATGATGGTGGCGTAGGTAACGTATATAGTGCAAATGGTACCCAGCCCAAGAGGAATGTCATCTGGCCAATTCTCCTCCAATGTGTCATTGTCCGTTGCAGGTGCCAGGTGTTCGCTGTCGTTCGCAAATTCATAAAAAGGGACATTCTCTGCCGGCAACAGCACCCTAGCCATGCTGAAGCTGAAAAGCCCTAGGTCAGAAATATTCAGTCCTTGCACCCCAACAGAACAGCAGGAAAGTGTGCCTGCATGTGTGTGAAGGGAGGAGGAGATCGCTAAAGACTAGCAAATCTATTAAAATGCAAACCCACAGGAACTTATTTCTTCCTGCTGTGGAATCTCGAAACGTAAGAAGGAGAGATGAGCAAAGAACCAGCGCTGAACCGAGTGGGAAGTGCAGAACATTTTTCTTTTTAAAAAAATATATGCCTTACAGCTACTGTGGGGGAAAAAAACAGGAGGAGGAGGAAGGAAAGTGAGGTGGATCGCTTCTCTCCCTCAACATGTTACCCAGTCAACGGGCTTCGTATGATTTCCATTTATTTTGATGGCTCTTCTTTGCCTATTCTGTTAAGTGCATTAACATCTTTCTATAAAAAGTGGGAATATCTGCACCGAATATCTGTAATTTGCTTGGCACGAACGATGTGTCATCCTTTTGCAAAAAAAATATAAAAACTACCCAAGAACACAGGAGCAGATAATACTTTTATTGGATCGCTTATACATCAAAAAGGGGGGGCAAGCTTCTGAATCCTTGCAGGACTCTTGTACAGGCCAAGCCATGAAGACCTTGCAGGCAAAGTTAATCCTCTTGAAGGGACCCTCTGGATCATCGAGTCCAGCCCCTCTCAAGGAGGCCCAGTGGGGGAATCGAACCCCCAACCTCTCTCTCCACTGCTGGAGACCTAAGCCACTGAGCTACCCAACAGTTCTGGGGGGGGGATATCATAGTGATGGAGGGGGATGTTTTGTTTCAGAGGAGCTGCATCTTAGGCAAAGAGAAAAAAAGGGGGAATTGTGTTCATGTAGCCTTTAGAAAGAATTTGAAGATGTTTCCTGGGTTCTGCGCCACCAACCTGCATGGCAAGTCTGCATTCTCTCCACAGTGTCTTGGAGGTCTTGAGAGCGGTTTGGTCAAGTCAGCTGTAGAGGCCAGGGCGATCAGGCTGAAAACACTCAGGGTGTTTAACTTGGACATCGCCGACCGAACAACCTCACACTTTCCAACTCTGCTAGAACTCCCAAGGGAAGCCACAAAGCACAGGCCAACCTGGAGATGAACTTTCCGTGCAACAATGCAAAGTATTAGCAGGTGGCTTGGTCTTGAACTGGCCTTGAATCCCTGGTCTGAATCCTCTTCATTTACTTACATGACCGCGTAAGGGCAAATCTCATCAGGGTTCTTCCCCCACCTCCTAGCAGGCTGTCCCTGGCATGCTTGGACTCATGCCAGCTGCAAGAGGGGAAAGGGCATGGCGCCATTCAAAAACCCTTAGCCTCCCTCCCTGTTTTTCTTGCACGGCATCTGTTCGTCTTGCATTACACCCATGCTTGCTGCAGAATTAAGTTTATTGCAGATGTTGACAGACAGATGACCCCCCCTCCCAAGAAATGCATCCTGTTCCCACTCCCAATGGCAGTGTTTAGATTTATCCAGTTTGCATTTTGGAAATCCCAATGTGGCTTTCCAAAATGCAAACTGGATAAATCTCAGCACTGCCGTCGCAGAAAACGAGTCCTTTTAAGGCAGAATTCTGACGCTTCTGTTTTCTGGTTTGATAAGGAATTCAACATTTTTGGCTTGGTTTCAAAGATCGTTTCACTGCTTCCCCCCACACACACACCTCCCCATCAGATAAGGACTGAACATCTCAGGAAGATACAACACTTGCTCATTCATCAGCGCTGTATGTTGGCAGGTCTTTCGCTGATGCGCTGTCAAGAATCAAGCCCAGCTACGCCTTCCCGAGTTGAGTGACAGCCACGAAAGGAGTGCAGAGGTGTCGAGAGAGAGAGGGTGGCAATTGGTCAACTCCCTTGCAGTTTCAGCAATCAAGTCCCTAGTGTGACGTTAAAGGAAATGCTTGTTTCTCCATATGGCCGTGTCTTTCCTCCAGGGACGCCATGCCTTCCAAGCTCCCTGCTGGGACAATCAGTCTTGCAAATGACGTCTGTGTTGGCCTTCCAATGACCAATAAAACCCAAGCAAATCCTAAGGGAGTTCCCACTTCTCTTGAAACCATCATCACCTTAGAACTGCATAGCTAGCCCAGCCTCTTTTAGAGAGGCACACTGAGGAATCAAACTCCCAACCTCTGGCTCCACAGTCGGAGACCTAAACCACCGAGCTGTCCAGGATTTCCCCTGCTTAGCTTTTCCTCCTAGATGAACCATCATCTCCTCCACCATCAAGACTCTTCTCTGCTGGAAAAAGGACAGGAAACACAAGATTCTTACTTCTAATCATTTTTCTGCTGGTCCTGCATGACTGTAGGTCGCATTGATTTCCTCCTAACCCTGCACTCAACTCTGTCCCTTTTTGCTGCCTCAGCTTCACCCTGTGACCTTCTACAGTGGCCCATTTCTTGCAGCAATGATGGGATGTAACCTTCCTTCCTACCCTACCATCTGTGACATGGGGTTAGGGTGGATTATCCTGAAACGAGACAAGGCTGAACCCAGAGAGCCTGCAACAACTTGTTCCTCCTGATTCGGGACCCCATTGTGGGAAAGCATGGGCTCCACTTCCAGACACGACTGGGCAGGACCTCCCAGCATGCCTCGTGATTAGCAACCCTGGACAAGGCAGATGGGAGTTGTAGTCAACAACGTCTGGCACTCCCTGTCTCTTCATCCTTGCTGTGGCAAAACGAACGCCTCCAGGAAATGTCAGCTGAGCACATGGAAAGACACATACCTCATTTCAGCTGCACACCGTACAATGATATGGCAAATATCCTTTGAGGTTTCAAAACATTTTCAGGAACCTAGAATGGAACAGCTATCCCTTATGAAAGAGGTTAACTGCCCTAGGCTACAAGTTGTGTGTGCTTTTCAGAACCAGCTCATGGACCGTCAAGCTTTACTTTGCATTTAATGCTCAGATAGGGCCACAGTTTGGATTCTTGCACAACATTGGTCTTTATCATTTGGTTTGTTAGTTTAAATCTTTTTACCCCACCTTTCTCCTTTAAAAAAAGGACCCAGGGTGGCTTAACTCATTAAAAAGGACATTTTTAGAAAGCTCAGAACAGTAAATAGACAAAAGGTTTTCAAATAATTCTACAAGTATTATATTTTTAAAATGGTAAATAAATTAATTTTGCCACTTTGGGTTAGAACAGTAAATAGACAAAAGGTTTTCAAAGAATTCTACAAGTATTATATTTTTTAAATGGTAAATATATTAATTTTGCCACCTTGGATTCTTTTTTTTTTTTAAGGAGAAAGGAGGGGTAAAAAGAGTTACAATAAAATACTAGAAACACATTTAAAAGCAGCAAGGCGCAACAACAAAACCCTTTGTTTTTTAAGGAGAAAGGTGGGATAAAAAGAGTTAAAATAAAATACAGTACTAGAAACACATTTAAAAGCAGCAGGGTGCAACAATAAAACCCTTTTATTTCCTCTCCGACCCCCTTGTTTGTTTTCCTGGTGGTCCGGGGTGTCCTGAACACTCTCCTCCAGCAGCACATTTCAAACGAATCAATTATTTTTTTGGAAGAGCCATTGCATGTTCTGAAGACTATCCGAGCAAGGAACATCTGCCATCCCGTTTTGCAGCCTAAATAGTAAACATGTCAGTAAGCTTTTTTCAGAAGACTCCCAGGCTATAGAGCCAATTATCTGCATCATCACTTAATTTCAGATGCAACTTTAGCACTCCCTTCCCCGGGATGGAATTTATGCTCCGATTGTATGCTTTTCCAGGATTGTTCAATTCTGCATTCAGAGATTCTTTATTCATTGGAGGGGATCAGAAAAGGACTCAAGAGTTCAATGGGCATTATTATTCCATTCCTCCCCACCTCCCCCACCCCATTACTTCCCCACCTGGAACATCACCCGGTATTCAGCAACAAGATGCCAGCATTAATAAAGAATAAATGGAAGAGATGCTGCATCAGAGATACTATTCACACCTCATCATTAAAATTATATGCCTTCATTTCAGCTGACAACTTATACAATGCTGTCTTTGAAGCATAAATGATACACTCTGGAGTAGCAGCAAAGAGGACTTAGAAGGAAGACGGGAAGCTGTAGCGACTGAATGTTTCTCTCCCAAATAATGGATGTTCTGCATTTTGCAAAAAACAGGGAGCTCACGGGGTCGGTGTTTCCAACAGCTTTTAAAGACAGGATATTAAAATAAATGTGAAAAAAACGTGACTAAAATTAAGGACTGGCATATGGTCTTTTACCAGGCGGTTTGCAACTTTCCCCCAAGCCTGCTGCTCTTGCGTTAGCTGCAAAGGTTGAATGAGCCCTTCATATATATATTTTTTAAAGGACACATAACGGTTTTGGAGAAAATAGCTTCACGGTTGCAGATTTCACTCGCAGGAATTTGGAGTGCTGCATCTATTGCAGGGGCTGTGTTTGATATAGTTTATCTCCTAGAGTTTTGTTTACAGCTCCTTCCTTCCTTCCATTTATATACTGCCCCATTAGTGCAATGCACTTATCTCAGCAGTTTACAATGAGCTGAAAACACAAAAACCGTATGTAAATAAAACAGATAAAAATACACAAAGGTCAATAAGTGTGGACCAAGCCACAGAACTTATATTATCTCCTATTGATTTTTGGCTAAAACTGTTCTTGTGTAAGTGATTCCTGGACCCGAGGATAGTGGTGCAGTAACCCAGGAAGAGTACTTGAGGGTCTCAGGAACAGCACGAACAGTCTAGGGGGGCTTATTTGCCCTTCCGCAACATCATCATTTCATGGGGTTTCATCTTTAGACAGTGCCATAGGTCTTTTCTTCCCCCAAAATGTGGTCACCCTGCTGCATTTCGGGGTCTTCCTGCTCCTTCCAGCGAGTGGGATTCCAGATTTAAGGCCTAAAGTCTTACCTGACAACGGCCTGGACAGGTGACTGATCGAACCCCGCTTGCCTTTCCCCGTCCACCCAAACCATTTCGGGGAGTTAGCCGCCGAATTTCGAGAGAAAGTCCCCCCCCCGCCCTGAGATATGATCATTAATATTCCTCATCCTCCAACTCCCAAACCATCATCTCTTAATTAGTGTGTAGGAGTCGCTGGCTTGAATAAAAGATCCTTTTATCTGTCACTTCTACAAATGGGGAGCCATTGAGACATCACTCCGTCACGAGTGCATCTCGTTAAGAAGGCTCCAAGTGACAAAAGAGCAATTATCAAAAGACGGCTTAGGTGTCTAATGAGCCTGATTGAGGTGGATATTAAAATAAGGGAGTGGAATTGCCAGGGATGTTAAAGGATTATATTCTTGCTCATAACATAGCTGAGTGCACTTTTTATTCAAACTTTTTATTTGGGTCCCCTCCACCTGGTCCAGGTGTTTCTTCTTCCGGCTCTGTTTATCCATTCTCGTAGCTTTGAGGAGGCACAGCAATTAAAAAAACAAAGTCCTACAGTTTTCCTTCAACTCTCTGGGCTCACACATGTCTGAACACGTTTGTTCCAACTCACATTTGCCCCAGTGGTCGACGATTTTTATGAACGTCTCTTTGATTTATCTTCTCCACTCAACCATCGCTATATTGAACAAAAGCTATTATTCCACCCTACATACTTGATTTCCCCCCATTGTCCTCCAAATCTGGTTTGATGAGGCTCCAAGTGGATCAGGACTCTGCTTAGAACAGGTCATGTCAAAGAACTATCGTGAGTTGTGCAAGCATAGGATCCAAACGCATGCTCGCTCAACTCTTTGGCAAAAATCACTCCACCGAGATTCTAATCTAGGGAATCAACATGGACTCAGTTCGATGCAATCGCTTTGAGAAAGCCAACGACCGGGTTTTTCAAAAGGTCCGTAGGAAACCGTTGGTTTGTAGAGGGAATGAAGTCTTCATTGGAACGAAACTTGACCTGCGTGCGAAATCTTGGCTTTGTGAGCGCCGTGTAGCTCTGCACCCGTTGTCAATCTTCTTCCCCCACATGGAAGCTCCGGCTTCAGGTAAGTCATGGAGGTGCAGTCAGTGTTACACCAAATTTGATCTAGGAAATCAATAAACAAGGAGCAATTTTCAGCATTGAGGGAACTTCTATTTTAGGGCTGTTCTTACGTTCTAAATTAAATTAATCAGTCAGTGGAGGTGTACTGAAGGCCGACGATGATTGGTTCATCTGAAACCTCCTTGTGTGTGTGTGTGTGTGTGTGTGTGTGTGTTTACCTCTGTAAGACTCTTTACACCGAGAAGCAGTCAAAAATGAGATACACCCCCTTACAGCTTCAAATCATACAATCCGCTCAGCTGCTGCAGGATTATACATTTTGATGCATATGCTCCCAGACTTCATATCAAGCATACCTACTTTGCCGGAACTTGAAAATACAGTATCACTTTTTAAAAATGCTGCAGCTCCCAGAAACTGGTGGCTTTAAAAACTACAACTCCCAGAATCTGGTCAGGGCTAGACAGAGGATTTCTAGTAAATGTAGTCCCCCATGCCCCCCAAAATGTGAATTTTCCCAAGCTTCTTACTCACCCGTTTGGACACCGATGTCTGGAATAGATCCTGGTAAACTTCTTGAGCCATTGGAGGTTGAGCTGGTTGCGTAAGACTTTAAGGACCGGGACGACTGTTCCCGCGGGTGAGAAGGGTACCCCAAAGCTGTGGCAGAACTGCTCCATTCTGGAATTAGATGTCAAGGTAGACATTGAGGCTAATACACTTTCGAAGCAAAGGATTCTGCAAAGGAATATAATCAACTATGGTGGTGGCTGTGGGGGGGGGGACAACCGGGGTAAGCATCTAAACTTTGAATTTACCACTCCATTACTGGTCTCCACAGGGGATGATGATCAGCCCTTGTCAGAAGAACTGTGTGAATCCACTGATTGAGGCAATGAGGGGGGGAGGGAGGTAGAAAGAAGGGGTGGGGATGAAAAATCAGTCTTACGAGAATAGTCGAGACGGAACTTCCCGCAGCAGAAGTGAATCCGGCACTGTTTCCTCACGTTCTCCTTCATGAGACAGTAGAACAGAAAAATGAAGAACCCTAAAAGAAGGAAGGAAACCGCCATTACTAGGTAGAACAGAAAAATGAAGAACCCTAAAAGGAAGGAAACCACCATCACTAGAAACACACACACACACACACACAGGACTGTTTCACAGTCCAGTTCCTTGTTCGGTTTTTGCAACTCGTTTTGCCAAAACGAAATGAACCCACACACACACACACACACACAGAGCTGTTTCACAGTCCAGTTCTTTATTCTGTTTGGGCAACACGTTTTGCCAAAACGAAATGAACAGCCGATCTTTTCCCCCCACTCAGCTCTTCTTTTCACTTCAGCCAAACGAGATGCCAATGCTTTCGTTGAGGGCAGGAGGAGCTCTAAGTTAAATACGCTGACTTTTCCGTGCGCATCCTTTTTGCCTTTGGCACCCCTTGCCACTGGAATGCGACTCCCAAGAACTTCCCTGAAATGGATGGTGGACCTCACGCTGAAAGACATACCCGACCCTTGCCCAACGTTTGCCTACATCCTAAGAAAGCTTACCTTGCAAAGTATTGCAAACGGCAAAGAGATACAGGAAAAAAATCCTCACGGGCCTGCTGGCGAAGAAGGCAAAGCCCCATGTCAAGCCGAGCAGGAACGTCAAGCTGACCACACGCTTCCAGTTGCGGAGGAAACTGTGACCCCAGTGGCCCTGCTCCTGCACTGGGTTAGTTTTATTCATGGTATGAATCTGCAGAAGGACCGTGATGAACATTCCGACATTGATCAGGAACACCAGGCAGAAGTAAGCCAGCGTGGAGATGTAGAAGACAACATCATTCTTAATCCAGCAACTGTGGGAGGAGGATGGAAAACAACGTTATGAATGGCTTGATTACAGGAGGACTGCCACATCCGTGGAATCAATATCCGTGGCTTCAGCATCCACTGCCTGAAAATATTTTAAAATTTTTTACAAAATCAGAAATGCATATTTTCAAGGTGTATTACTGGAACTGGCCACTCAAGGGAGCCAGAGACCATGTTATAGACAGGGTTTTCATATTTGCAGTCTTTTGCATCCATGGGGAAATGATTGGAAATGATTTCCTGCGGATACTGGGGTCCTACTGTATTTCGTTGGCTGGTCAACAGGATAGTTGCCAGTAGGTGTTTCATTGATGGAAAGGAATGGTGGGGATGGACAGCTGAGAGTTGGAGTCTCTCCTGAGACCTTGTGATGTAGGGACAGCGATGCTTCTCTGGCTGAAAGAGAGTGTGCAGAGAAGCGCAAGGGAGAGAAATGGCTAATATAGAGCGTTGTGGTTCTTTCTGGAAATACAATATAGTTGCTCTCGGGGGAGATTTCTGCCTTATGAAAAGAGAGGATTGCGGAAAGACTTACAAAAGTGCCTCTGGGCTGGCGCTGCTGGAAACAGGTCTGGTCCCATAAAAGTCTGGGCTTATAGCGAGGACGATAGCCACTATCAACGCTGGAATTCCTGGTGGAAGATACAAGGCGGGGAGGAAAAAAATAAAGGCATTTTAACCTCAAACTGGAAGGGAAAAAAAACAGATAGATATCAGTAGAAATGTGCCTGGACGACCCCATGGCAAGGGAACATGTCTCCAGGGAGTCCCAGAACATGGGAAAGTTACTTTCTTAACTACAGGATCCAGAATCCCCCAACTAACACAAGATTCTGGAATCTGTAGTCCAAAAAAGGAGTATTTCTACACAGTTGTTAAAATACATATGCAAGGATAGAATGTTATATTGAGGCCCAGAACAGATAGGAAGCAGCCTGATATAACTGGGAAAGGAGGTTAAATCAGTGAAGGTAGCAATCTGATTTTGTATAAAAACCTTAACCTGAGAAAAGTCCCCAGAAATCAATACAGGGCTGTTGGCGCTACCGAGTTTAGGAGTCTGGCTTTGCCAGAACCATTTAGGCTGAATCAGTGGCAGTTCTGATAACTCCAGTTTCAGAGGTGCAATGAATCCATTCCGGGTTTTAATCCAGACTTTACAGGAGCTGTCCAAGGTGCCGGGGTTCAAATCTCCACTCAACCCATCTGGCCCCCAGGTTGGCTTTCTCAGGCCAACCTGCGTCACAAGTTATCCTTGTGAGGATAAAAAGGAGGAGAGGATGATAAACCACATATTCGAGCCTTTGATGGTGGGTAAAAGGTAGGACAGAACTGAAGCAAATGGATAAAGAGATAAATCCACAGACTTACCCCAGCCAGCTATGGAAAACTTAAGGATATAGCGGGGAATGTAAGTGTTGAACACCTTGATGAGGGCATAGTACATGTGAATGGCTTCGAGGCCCATCCAGGTGAAGGCCGCCAGCAGGAAGTAATGTAGGAACACGGCCACGGAGATGCAGAGCCCATAGTTGTTGAAGGAGGCGAGCCAGGAGTCCACCAGGAACGTGAGGTTCAGCATCAGGAGCGCAAAGCAAAGGTTGACGAGAATTCTGGAGGGGTAGTCTCCACGGAGCTTGCTGGAACAGAAAAAGGAAGAAGGTCTTTCAGTCCTCTTCAGCTGCAGCCTTTCTTTCACATTCTTAGATTTTGTGGATGGCTGTGTAGAGAAGTGTAAAGATTCTGGAATGTAACCTGCAGAATCTGATAAAGCAAGGCTAGCCGATCCAGGAGCTGCAGACCTGGCTGTCCAAACAGACGGCAAAGGAGGTGGCCTTTCTGCAGAACCAAATGATCGGTCTGTTTCACCCTGGATTGTTCTCTCTGACTGCCAACAAGCATCTTTTCAGGTGTCAGGAAGATTTCTTTCCAACCTTACCAGGAGATCCATAGTCTTAATGCAAATCGCCTAGGAAATGCATCAGTAGATCTGGGCCTCCCCATCTGTAAATCCCAGGTGTAGAGAAAGTAACAAGTTGCCCCCCCCCTCAATAAGGCAACCCAGTCTATCTAGGGTTCGTGATCGCACGTTGTCACCCTAGAGAGGCTTGGAAAATAACGACAAGGAATCATGCCTTCCTGGTGGTGGCCCCAACGTTGGCTGTGGATGTTCACCAAACTCCCTGTCTTCTGGCCATCAGTAAACAGGTGAAAGCTGATATTTCCAAAGAGGCCTTTGGTAACATATCCCCACTGCAATATTTCCCCAGACCCATGTGTTTCCAAGTGAGTTTTATCTGCCATTGCCTCTAGGGTCTCTTCATCATGGTCCCCCCCCATTGGGTGTACATGGGTTGTTATTTCTCGTTATCACAGAGTAGTGTGCTGTCACTAGATGGATGGGGTAAAAATGCAACCAACCGATCAATCAAGGAAAGAGCGAAACGACTCACTCGATGGAAAGGTACACTATTAAAGCCAAGCCCAGGAATATGCAGGAAATGCCGCAGCCTGTATAGGTTATCAAAGTTAGGACCGGGTTGTCAACTGGCTCCCGATAGACATCCTGGGAAAAAGAGGATGGAAGGAAACAGCCTTTAGTTACACACTTACTGAGAAGATTGGAGCACAGAACGTGTCTGAAGGCACCAGATTTGGGAAGAACTGTGCGCGGCGCAATCGGCAGCAGCCGTCCGTAAGTGAGCAAGCCGTAGGCTGGTGGGGTCCCGAGCATTTCAAAAGAGAAACCGGTTTTAAAGGCCAGCATGTCGGATTTGCCACGGATTCTCAGGGGCCCTAACCCTTTCCTTCTGGCGCAAGGTGCATCTGACAAAGAGAGCTGTGGGCCACAGAAGCCTAGGCCACATAAAATGGGTTAGACTTTGTGAATTTTGCTGCCCAGATTGTGACACGGCCACCCCTGTGAAAACAGGAGCAAAACGGTTCTTCCGGTGCGGGATTGATAATAATCCCATGCCGTCAAGTCAATTCCGACTCAAGAGAACTCTTTTTCAGGGCTTTCTAGGTACAGAGTAGAGATGGACCCTCCTATCCACGGGATCAGTATCCACTGATTCATTTATCCACTGCCTGGGAATACTAAATTTTTAAGAAAAACAGAAATACCTATCTATGTATTTATTCTTTATTTATTTTATTTATTTTATTCATATCCCGCCTATCTGGTCGGTTAAGACCACATCTATATGTGTTTCCAGGGTGTATTCGCCAAAACTGGCCACTCAAGACTGTGCAATGTATCACGTTCGATACTTCTGTGTTTTTTGGCATCCACCAGGGAGCTTGGAATTGATCCCCCCATGGATACTGCAGTTCTACTATACTCAGAAGTGGTCTTTTCATTCCCTTCTTCTGAGGATGCCCTGGAATTGAGCAGCCGGCCCAAGGCTACCCAGGTTGGCTCTTCTCTCAGGAAGCCTCAGTGGGGGGATCGCACTCCCAACCTCTGACTCTGCAGCCAAAAAACTCAACTCACTGAGTGATTCAGCCCGTCCGACGCAGGGTTAAGCAATAACTTACCAACAGGACTCCAAAGTGGGTCAGGTGGTGGCAGTTGCAGACGGTATAATTGACACCTGAGGATTTTGTTTGGCATCCTGATCTGTTCCAGCCGCCAGATCCACCTGCACAGCGCAAATATAAGAAGCTATTTCACCCATGGCTCACCATTCCACCTTCTCCCCATCACTATGTGTAGGCTTCCCCCATGGAACATCGGGGGATGAATAAATCAGGGGGTCTGCTAGTGGTAGGGAAATGCAGGTTGCCTACCCAGGCTTGGAAAAGTTACAGTTTTTTTTTTTAAAAAAATTACTTTCTGAAGCTCCAGAGACAACCCACTTTTTCTCTGTAACTTCATCCCCTCTCTCTGTCCTTTCCCTTTATCACCACCCCCTCTGTACTCTTTCTCGTCCACTCATCGTTTTGTATACAGACATATCCCACTTCCGCACGCTCGTTTAAACGCTCAGATGCAACACTCTGTTTTTAAATATCTCTGAAAACCAAGAGACTGGCATAAGCTGGGCACTGCCTTGGGACACGTCTAATTCTTCCCCCCCCCAAAAAAATTGTTTGTTATGTCTCTGTGTTTGTTTCTCATTTAAATTGCAAACTGAACTTTTTTATTAAGAGGGGAAATGCACAGAGAAGAGGGATGAAGACAGGGGGGGATGATTGCAGCCATCCAATCAGACTAGCCATTGAACCCTGACAGGGAGGAAATGCCTTCTACCACATCCAAGGACCTCAGCAACATTGAAAGAACTCAGAGTTCATTGTCTCGCCCGCCCAGCTCTGTTCTCCAAGACAGCGGAACAAGGAGGGGAACTCAGGAGGAATACTTGAAAGATAGTCATACAATGGAGGGGCAGGATCCGTTCTCAATCATCTCAGAATGCAGGACACGTCATCATGGGTTCAAGCGACAGCATCTCAGATTTAGGCTGAATATCAGGGAAAACTTCCTAACTGTTAGAGCAGTACGACAATGGAAACCATGATCTCATGGGCACCAACACTCGAGAGATAACTGGACAACCCTCTGTCGGATCTGTTTTGATCTGGATTCCTGCCTTGAGTAGGAGGGTTGGACTCGATGGCCTTAGAGGCCCCTTCCCACTCCATGATTATGTGAGTCTATGAAAAGCTGGATAGCTATTCTTGCTAGCCCGGCCCCAGATCTGCAATGCTGACTTTGGCTAATAGGAGAGCTAGAGCAGGCAATAAGCTCTGTTTGCATACGCACAAACTAAGGAGCAACAGATAAGAACAGACGGCGGTTTCCTAGAAACCAGCACTTGCAAAAAGTTAGTTTCTGGGCCCCAAACCCTCCTAGACCATTCCAGCTGGTGGGATCACTTCCGCGAGCTCCGTGGGAAATCAGGACGCTGAAACAGATGGACCGTCTGGAGCTCTTTAATACTCACTGTTCTTCTTGAAGTCCCAAAACACACAGTACACTTGGGCATTTTCCTGGAAGCAAAAAAAGGAAACTGTGTAGGACGTTCTTTAATCAAGAGCCTCTCGGGGGCCTTTTCAAAGGAAAGGAAACATTCATCCTCTTCGCGAAGCTTGCCAGGATTCGTGTCCATGCCTCACTCTAAAAAGCCACTTCCCAGAAAAACCACTTTTCTGAGAAAATTGTTTGCATCCTTAAATAAGTGTGTGTTGTTGTTGTTTTTAAAAAAATCCATTCCCTTACTGGAGCTGCTGCCCTAGAGGACTCCCCATCCCAAGACTCTGTGATCACAAATTGAAATTTCCCAAGAAAGAATTCATTGCATAGAAGTCATGCTGAGCAGGGCACTTCAGGGCTGACTAATTAAGGCTAAGGAAGTTGGAGATGGGAAAGGTGGTTCTGGGGGGAAAAAAACCTCACCGAGGCGAAAGGACACTTACTTTGTTTTGTGTTGTGTGTTGTAGCACAATATTGACGGGCACCGTGAGGTTTTGGATGGACACGTTCTTGAGGCTGGCGCCCACAACGTAGCTGTTCAGGAACTGATCCTCGCAGCTGCTGTCCTGGGAAGAGAGAAACGGAGCCCGGTCAAAGGGGCCGCAGCACTGCAGTCCCTGGTGTTCCTACGGGTGATTCATCTGGGGTGGTGTCTGTTGTTTCTGTCGTGGCCAGGAGAACCGCCGGCTATGGGTTTCTGCGATCTGTGGTCCCAAACAGGGATACGTCCTGACTTTCAAACTGAACGTCCTGACAAGGCTGTGCTACGCGTTCTGCTAGTGGCCATCCTCTCCGCCCAAGAAATGGCCAGACCTTTCCTCGGGGAAAAGAGACGCTTCCATGAAATGTTTTGTGTCCACACAGAGCAGGGAGAATTCCACCCGAAATATGGAGATGGGTGTCAGGCCTATCGTTTGGAGAAAAAAAAAGCAAAAATGTTGGGGTACCTTAAAGACGAATTGCTGTATTTTAATCTGAGTTTTTCATATACAAATCTGAAGCAGCAGCCTCGATCCATTAAAACAGAGCAGTCAGCCTTGAAGATACCACAACATTTGTGCCTCCTTTAAATCTTTTTCATTTTTGTTTTTCCCTGACATGCAATGTCTGTGTTTCTGTGTTTCTGTTCTGATTAGTTCTGTTGTTGTTGACATTGCCTAAATTGGTCTGTGTGTAAGGGAGTTATTTTGTACAATTTACCTTGTAAATCCATCCAGATAGTGTAGGTAGGTAGGTAGGTAGGTAGGTAGGTAGGTAGGTAGGTAGGTAGGTAGGTAGGTAGGTAGGTAGGTAGGTAGGTAGGTAGGTAGGTAGGTAGGAAGGAAGGAAGGAAGGAAGGAAGGAAGGAAGGAAAAGAAAGAAAGAAAGAAAGAAAGAAAGAAAGAAAGAAAGAAAGAAAGAAAGAAAGAAAGAAAGAAAGAAAGA